GCGCTGCTCCTAGCTGCCAGATCACCAGTCACAGCTGCAAGCCAGAGTGCCTCGAAATTGCACAAGGTTGCTGCTTGAAGAATGGCCTTTTGGATGAGGTCCCCACCTACTGAGAAATTATGCAGAATGATACAAATGTCTATAGACTCCTGCACCAGCCTGGAACTCAGCAAGCCCAGCCCTGCCCAGGCCCAGCCCTGGTGTGACCTCAAAGGGCTGGAAAGGAACTTGAGCCTTTTCTAGTTATTCTCTCACCCTCGGCCAGGATGCCAGCTCATATGCAGAAGCACCTAGGTGGACATCTCCAGCTTCTCAAGGTGTATTATGCACCAAAGCAGGATAAGGGAGTGGATCCAACCACTGGCCTGCCTTCCTCTCCCTCTTGTGGTCACCAGCACCCCCTCTTCTTCCCCAGAAGTCCCCAGCCAGGCCAGCAGCCCACTCTCTCCCAGCTTCTAAAGGCAGCACATCACCCCTCTGTCCTGCTGTACATGCCTGCAGGGAAATACAAACACAGGCAATGCACCAGCTTTAGCAGTTGAGGTCTGCTGTGCTCTGTAAGGATAGGTGACTGTCCCTTGGGCTGGGGTCTTTGTCACTGCTTGCAGGGTTTTCTGGGACTGATGCCGCTGTGCTGGCTGTTTGATGTAAGAACCTTTGTCTCACCAACTTGGAGCCTTGGCAACCTGGTATCCTGTCTGAACCTCTGGTCGCACAGAATCACAGCCATGTGGCTCTCCCACCACTTTCCCAGGTGTCCGCACGCTTCCTGGACAGCCGAGCCGGGCTGTAGTGAGCAGCACTCACTCGCCAGCTTTGCAGATGTTCAGGCACCCCTCCCCCTGCTTGCAGGAATTCTGCACCGGTACAAGGATATGTTGGAGGCTGGTTCTGTAAGTGGATCTGAAGAAACTTCATTTCGTAGCACCAGTTTTTTGTGTTTTTATTGGTTGTTGTTTTGTGTTTTTGTGGGTTTTTTTTTTTTTTTTTTTTTTTCCAGAAAGAGTCTCACTCTGTCACTCAGGCTGGAGTGCAGTGGTACAACCTCAGCTCACTGCAACCTCCGCCTCCCAGGTTCAAGTGATTCTCCTGCCTTAGCCTCCCAAGTAACTGGTATTATAGATGCATGCCACCACACCCAGCTCATTTTTGTATTTTTAGTAGTGATGCAGTTTCATCATGTTGGCCAGGCTGGTCTCGAACTCCTGACCTCAAGTGAACAGCCCGGCTTCAGCCTCGGGAAGTGCTGGGATTACAGGCATGAGCCACTGCACTTGGCCTGTAGCACCATCTGCTATTGGCTTTGACATGGGAAAGCTGACATTAAAACTGGCCTCCTTGGATAACAAGTTATCTCTGCCCTCGAAGAAGGAAATTTTGAAGAACCAAGTATAAAGGATGAGATCAAAAGTCTGTAAGAATTAGTAACAAATATATCAACACAAATTTGTCCCAAAACAATTTCAGACAACACCCAAAATCCCATCCGTGGGACAAAATCCAATCCTCAGAGAGGAGGTAGTGTTTTGTGATGTTAACTGCTGCTGGCAGAGGGCCCAGTGGGTATAGAGACATGATTCTGAGAAGCAGGACTGGCCGTGAAACACTAAACTCTGGTCCATTTGTGAGATTAAATCCCTCTGTGCTGTGGGATGGGTGAGTCAGGACTGAATGGAAGGGGAGGGAAAAGCTGGCAGGGGGTGGGGTAGGGAAGTGGGGGACTGAAAAAAAATCCCCACATCCAGCAGAGAAGGGTCCACAGCAATCCAGTCAAGTGCCACCTCTGTGCTTGTCCACCCTCATGCCTTGGGATCGCAGTGCCTTCCTCTGCACTAGAGATAGGTGGTGTGGTGTGACTGGTGACTCGGCATGCGAGTGCTGCTGAGTGACAGCCACAGATCTTAGTTTCTTGTGTTTGGCCAGATGTAGAGAAGGAAGCCAGTAGGAAACTTGGAGGTCTGGAGATGTAGCCAACAGCAGAGGCAAGAGCAGTACCCAGAGGAAAACAACCCGGCTGGAGGGAATCCATTGGTGCCCATTCCAATGGGAATCGAGGCTGTGTGCAGTTGCTAGTGTTCGAATCAATGTGGTGGCTGTGAAGGTGACCCAGGTGTGGAGAGGGAGACGTGCCCAGTAACGGGGCTTCCTGCTGGGGTGGGAGTCCTCTCTTTGAGGTTGCCAGAGGCTGTTGCTGGCCCTCCCTCACAGGGCCCACTGCTTCTGGGGGGTGTGCGGCTCTCCTGTCTGGACACAGCCGTGGTCCAGAATGAAACAGGGCCTAGTCACAGGGTGATGGGGCTTCAGCAGAGATGCCCAAACTCCCCTGAACTCCTTCTTTGCTTCCACCTTTTTAGTCCCTTCACTTCCTCCATTTTCGTACACACCACCCTTTCTTTTTCTTGTTTTCTTAAAATTTTAATTACAAAGAACTTTAAGCCTTCAGAAAATCACACACAATGCTAAAATACCCATCACTCAGCACTGTCAAATGTCATCGTTTTGCCATTTCATTTTAAGAAATAAAATCTTGCCAGGCACAGTGGTGCCTGCCTAAAGTCCCAGAGCTTTGGGAGACCAAGGTGGGAGGATTGCTTGAGGCCAGGAGTTCAGGACCAGCCTGCTCAACATAGTGAGAAACTGCCTCTACAAAATAAATACATAAATAAAATCTCACATGTGGCTGAGCCCATTGACCTGTGAACACTTTCGTCCATTTCTCCTGCCTAGAGGTAACCACTACCCTGCATTAGGATTATAACCCCATATTAGCCTTTGTTTCTATGTGTGTGTCCATAAACATATAGTACAGTTTTACATGCTTTTAAATTTTTAATAATATAACATGTAACAGTATTTTATTTAAAAAAAAATTTTTGTATAGAGATAGGGTCTCACTGTGCTGTCCTGGCTGTCCAGGCTCCTGGTCTCAAGCAATTCTCTCACCTTGGCCTCCCAAAATGCTGGTATTACAGGCATGAGCTACCCAACCTGGCCTAATCATATATTTTTAGATCTAACATAGACAGAATAGTATCCTTTCAACACGTTAACAATACAAATATCATTGAGAGACATTTTTATTTGTTAATTTGTTGTCATAGTTGTACACATTTTGAGGCGTACAGAATATTTTGATATATGTACGCAATATGTAATGATCAAATCAGGGTAACTGGGATAGCCATCTATGTATCTTTTTCTTTATGTTGGGAAGATTTGCATGCTTTTAAACTTCATATACTGCACGTAATACTTCTTGATTTGCCTTTTCTCTTACTGTCAAAAAAAGCTTTCTGAGCTTTTATGTTTATACATGTGTTCATACCTACAGTTCTGGTTCATTAATTTTTAACTGCCATGTAGCATTTTATACCTCAAGTAATTTATCCATTCTCCTACTAGTGGACGCTTACATGCTCTCACAAATAATGGTGCAACAAATATCCTCGCAAAAGCATATCTTTGTGCCCACTTGCAAGTTTAGTCTCTAGAGTACACATACAGGTTTGTGTATCTTTAACCTACAGGACGTTGTCAAATTGCTTTCCAAAGTGGCTCTGGGGAATAGTCCTCCAGCAGTGTAAGAGGTACCATGGTTTGAATGTCACCTCTGAAACTCAAGTTGAAATTTAACTGCCATGGTAATGGTATTAAAAGGTGAGACCTTTAAGAGATCATTACGTCATAAGGGCTCTGCCCTCACAAATGAATTAATGCCATTATCTTGGTAGTGGGTTAGTTTTCGAGGGCGTGGTTTCCTGACAAAGAGAATGAGCTTGGCTGATTTCCTCTCCCTGTCTCCACTCACTTCTGCCTTCCACCATGAAATGACCCTTACCAGATGCTAGAGTCATGTTCTTGTACTTCCCAGCTTCCAGCATGAGCCAAATAAACTTCTGTCCTTCATAAATTACCCAGTCTGTAGTATTCTGTTATAGCAACAGAAAACAGAGTAAGACAAGGAAGATCCTATTTTCCCACATCCTAGAATATTTGGCATTGTCAGATTTTTAAAAAAACTTTGCCACAGAGATGTGTATAAAATAGGACCTCCTAATCACCTTCTCTCTCAAGGCCCCAGTACTTCTGGAAGCCCCCCCCCCGCCATCCTTACTGCAGTCACAGGCACGGATCAAGCATAAAGAGCTTGGCTGGCTTCCGTTCTTCTGGCCTCCAAGTCATGGGAGTGTCCAGAGCTATCTGCTGGGCCTCGTTCTCCATCCACCTCTCTCCTTAGGTAATCTCTCCCTGCCACCATGCTTTAGAATGCCAACCACACCTGCCAGTGACTTCTAGATGCAGAAAAATCTCCATCCAGAGTGTCAGAAGCTACTTCACAGATTTATTTGATGGATGATAAGCAACTGAAATATCATTTAATCTGCCCAAAGTTCAACGTGGTTTCCCCCTCAGGTGTCATTTCTCCCCATTCATCCCCTCTGAGTCAAGGGCAATGCCATTTATTAATTGCTCAAACCAAACACTTGGGAGCCATCCCTGATTATTCTCTTTCCACCGCCCCCACATTCAATCCATCAAGTTATATCAATTTCTATGTCGAATTGTACCAAAATTCCCCCACTTCTTTCTATTTCCACCACTACCACCTTGGTCCTAGCTCCATCATCTCCTGCTACATCAGCTGGTCTTCCTGTTTCTCATCTCGCCCTTTCCAGCCGCTTCAGTGCCAAAGTGATCTGTTTAGACCATAAAACACAAGTAAAATGCCATTCCCCTACGTAAGGCTTCCAGTGGTTCTTATCACAGAACACTTAAGTTGGGGAATGCCAACAGCTACGGAGTTGGCAAGACCTGGTCCCTGCCTGCTTCTCCTTCTGCACACCCTCCTGGCCTTCAGAACTTTCTTTCCACGTGGAGGGCTCTTCCTTTGATCTTTTGATGTCATTCTTGTCATTCAAGGCTCTGTCAGTTACAAAAAGACCTACGCTGACCCACCCACCCTGGTCTGTGTGGCCCCTTCATTGCCCCCACAGCATTACCTTCATCTGTCTTCATTCTGAAACTGCTCAGTGTTGGGTTCTGGGGTCTTTCTGCCCCACCAGAATCTCATCTCCACAAGAACTGAGGTCTTCTCAGCCTCACTCCCCATTCGTAGTGCCTGGCATGAAGCAGGAGCCCAAAAAAGTCTGTCAAAATAAAGGGTGAATAGATGAGGTCGCATTTTAGAACAAGCTTTAAGTGCAAATGAAGCCAGGCACGGTGGCTCACGCCTGTAATCCCAGCACTTTGGGAGCCCGAGGCAGGTGAATCATGAGGTCAAGAGATCGAGACCATCCTGGTCAACATGGTGAAACCCCGTCTCTACTAAAAATATAAAAAATTAGCTGGGCATGGTGGCACGTGCCTGTAATCCCAGCTACTCAGGAGGCTGAGGCAGGAGAATTGCCTAAACCCAGGAGGCGGAGGTTGCGGTGAGCCAAGATCGCACCATTGCACTCCAGCCTGGGTAATAAGAGCGAAACTCCGTCTCAAAAAAAAAAAAAAAAAGTACAAATGAAGCTTCCCTCCCTGATTCTGGGTGGGATAAAAGTTACTTAAGATAAGACAATGGCAGTGTTGGGTGGCTCACACCTGTAATCCAAGCACGTTGGAGGCAAAGGCGGGTGGATCACCTGAGGTCTGGAGTTCAAGACCAGCCTGACCAACATGGTGAAACCCCGTCTTAAAAAAAAAAAGATAAGACAACGTTTCTGTTTAGTGAGAACCATGGTTCTCAAACTTCTTAGCCTCAGGATCCCTTGATGCTCTTAAAAATTATTATTTTTTTATTTTTTTTGAGATGGAGTGTCACTCTGTTCCCCAGGCTGGAGTACAGTGGCAGTCTCAGCTCACTGCAACCTCTGCCTCCTGGGTTCAAGTGATTCTCCTGCCTCAGACTCCAGAGTAGCTGGGACTACAAGTGCACACCACCATGCCCAGCTAATTTTTTTGTATTTTTGTAGAGATGGGGTTTTGCCATGTTGGCCAGGCTGGTCTCGAACTCCTGACCTCAAGTGATCCGCCTGCCTTGGCCTCCCAAAGTGCCACTCTACACTTACAGTGCCTAGTATGCACCAGAAAGATTCTGTTGAATGAGCGAATAGGAGGGTGCAAGATTTTAAACTGGCCTTAAGGGTCAGAGGCAGGTGCATTAGTCAGCAGGGGTAGGGGGGATCTGAGATGGGGCTGCCTTTCCCCCTAGATGGCCCTGAGGCCCACTTTCCCTCCTGCCCACTCACCCCCAGCCTCACTCAGTCCTTTCTCTTCCTGTTCCCCAACAATCTTCTCTCCACAGCAGTGCATAAAATAGAACAAGAAATCATTTGATGTCTTCAGAAATCAATGTGTAAGCCGGTTATGTCTTTTAAATAAGCTCATTTCTGTAACCAAAATAGTGATTGTATGAATTTCAGTCCTTAAAAGGGAGTTCCCTTGGAGGGTTTCCCTTGCCAAGTGAATATTGAGGCCTGATTCTGCCAGGATGTATTTATTCCCGTCTATATTCATGTTGAGAAAGCTAACTGGGTGTCATATTATATTCTTTTTACATTACCGAAACCTAACAAACTGTGTCATGTTCTTTCCCTTATTACAATACCGAAACCTAAGTTCTTCCCCTTTCTGAGGAGAAGCTACTCCCTCCCCCTTTATTTTTTCCTTTGGCTACAGGAAATTCACAAAGCCAAGATTAAAAGAAAAAAAATAGAAAAAGATGATCATCTCTGCTGCTATTGAAGAGCCTGAGCTCCCCAGGCGCTGTGGGCACGCCACGCCTCTCCACTTCCTGACGTCATACTGTTTTTGTCTTTGAATAGCTCATTGACACAATTGCCTCGGAGATCGGAGAACTGAAACAGGAGATGGTGCGGACAGATGTCAGCCTGGAAAATGGCCTGGAACACGCTGAAACCCACAGGTGACCAGAGACACGGTTAGAAGATGGGTGTGCGAGAGGGATCGAGTGAACCCTGGCAGTGCCAAGGGCTGACTTGCAGTCACTCCTCAGAAGCGCAGCAGTTGGGAGTGTGGTGGCAGCTCTAGATGAATCCTCCGTAGGGGGTGGGAGTGGCCTAGGAGCTAGTTGTCTGCTTGTTTATTTTAATCACTTCCAAGGCACTTGAACTTTATACTCTCTCGATTCCTCCTGGCACCAGAACCCGGAAACCTAAAATTGTCTGTGCCATATCCACCTACTCCCAATGACGGAAACAGTAACGCAGCGGGATCCAGCGTGTGCAAAGTAGAATTCAGTGTAGCTGTGTGAGTCTCCAGAAGGCTTACAGGGGAGCAGCTAAAGAGGATGGACTCATTTTGCATTCTCAGGTCAGAAAAAGCCCCAGCAGTCTCCAAAGCCATTAACCTGAAAAGCCATGCAGTGACTGGAAACTGATTGCAGTTGTAAGTTAGATACGAAGGGAGACAGTGTGCTGTGCTGTTGAAGCCGATACCTGTGCACGTACAGCACGCTGTCTGAATAGGCGGCAAGGGACTGGTCTGTATCTGGAGAAAGGGGCTGCAAAGGTCAGGGGGTCAGGGTGGTACTGAGAAGTTGGAGATAACCCCTTCCAACTTTGATGCTAACAAGATAATGATATAATGGCTACAAAAACACAGACGCTTGGTGCCTCGTCGGCCAGATTCATTATCAGCTTCCCCTTTCTCCCAGAAAGTGGGGCTGAGGCTGCCCGGAGCAGTGTGAGGCTGAGATTTATGGAGTGGATTTTGCTTGCAAGTCATGCAGCAGGCAGGCCAGCCAGACGGTTCTGGTTGTCCAGGCAAGTTTCAAACCAGCCTGACTAGTTCCCCGCCATACGCTGAGGGGTGAGAGCACCATCCCAGCGAGGCACTTGGCAGCTGGAAGGTGGTACTTTGACACCCGATGTCTCTCGGGGAACAGCATTCCCCCTTAAATCTCTGTGCCTTCCCTTCCCTTTCCTTCTCTACAAAACGATGAGGATGAACCACATGGTCCCCCTGCCCCTTGTAGCGTACCCAGCATTCTATGATTCCTCTTACCTTTCATGTGACAGTCTTCAATTCGTTATTTTTTCCCCGTAAACTAGACAAATGAACAACGATTTTCAGGTAGTGACTCTCTGCCTCATCTCCAGAGCAGTTTCAAACATCGTGGATCTTTAGCCGGGGGATTTTTCTTTGTCCCGTGCCTTGTTGAGCTAAAATTTAATTGGGAGTCTAGGTTGATAACAATAGCATAACGTGAGCTTTGGCAGCACTGACTTCTCCCACAGCCAGGAAAGGCAGCTCTGTGAGATCAACCCCAAGCTCTGCAGACGACAGACACCCAGACACAGAGTAGTGGAAACCTCTCCCCTGAGTATAAGCACCGGGGATTTTAGGGGCGTGAGAAGGACTGTCCGGACACGTGAGGGGCCGTCGAGATCTTGTTTCCTGACTGTGGAGATTAGAGTGAGAGCCGGGAGCTTGCTTAATCTTTAGTACTTCCTTCCATCTTTTCCTTTTCAGATGTAAGAATACCCATAAGCAGTTCCCGATAGCCTTTTCCCCGGATGAATGTCACTTTGAATGCTATGTTGCTTAATTCATGAATTTATAAATTTGCAGAGGCATTTTACTTGGATTTTTTTTTAACAGAAAAGAAAGAGGAAAAAGCAAGGCGAGTTGTCGAGTTGTCGTTCAACAGTATAGGTCGTGTTGGCCACGGTCAACCACTATTCTAAGTGGTTTAGAGCGACTAACTTACCGAATCTTCCTAACGCCCCTAAGAAGAAAGCTCACTAGAGCCCGCATTTGACCCATGTGAAAACTGTGCTGTAGGGAAAAGCTACAGGGTTTTGGCTTCTGTGCTGGAGTCTCTTGCTGATTTTTTAGAAGTAGTGATTTTGCTTTTAATTTCTCCATTTTGTTCAATGCAGCTGTCAGGAGGGCCCATTCGGTTATTTCCAAAATCAAGGAAAAGCATAGCTGTGGCCACAATTCAGCCTGGCACAGAGCAGCCAAAGGGCAGAGGAAGGAAGAGGAAAGCAGACAAGTAGGTAGCAGAGTTGCTTTCAGCCAAACCCCTGCAGAGAGAAGCAGGGAGCACCCCTGGGCCCTTGGCTCTGCACATCCGACGGCTGTAGGAACGCTCCGCAGTCAGCTTCCTTTGCAGCTTCGTACTCTGAGTGTGAGCTGGGATAGGGAGTCACCTACCCCACCATGGCCACCACGAAATGGCTATGGTTCCTTAGTTGACGGAATACCAGATGAAGCACCACACTAGTCCCCTAGGTTAGAATCACTATGACTCTAGCCGTGTCGGCGTTTAGTTGCTCTTTTGTGGTTAATACTGAGCTCACCCGGATCTTGAACTTTTTCTTGTGCCGTGGACTCCTTCTCTGAGTAATATGTTAAATGCATAAAATAAGACATATAGGATGTCATGGGGAAAACAACTGTACTGAAATCCAGTGATCAGTGTTTCAGCGTGAGCTTTCAGTGTGAGCTTTCATGGCATACGTGCTTCTTTTTTACACATGACAGATAAGCATAAGTGACACGATCTCTGTAACAGCTGTGACGATGGTGAAAACCTCTGTGGTTTCCATGGGTGACAAAGTCACAGGCCTTGAGGGTACTACTGTGGTTTGTTTCTTATAGTCAAAATGGAAGGAAGGTCATTCAGAATGAGGCTAGGGAAAATGAAAATGTCACCGTTTTCCGCCCGGAGGCGAGGACCCACCTCTCAGCCAGTCTCTCGTCAGTGCCATCTGCATGGTCCGTCTGCCCTCCTTTTTGGGATTCTTGCTTGGCTTGGCTACTGGGAGCCCACACTTCCCTGGGACCCACTCAGCGGTCCTGCTGCTGCCCTGGGACCACAAGTGATCCTCCCACCCCAACCTCCCGAAGTGCTGGGATTACATACAGATGTGAGCCACTGCACTGGCCCAGCCACTCCTTTTCACTCTTTCACTAACTTTGTACTTCAAAAAAATCTGTACCTCAGTGTTCTCATCATTAAAATGGGGATAATAACAGAGCTGCCTCATAGGGTTTTCAGGAAGATTAAATGAGTGAATAGCTGTCAAGGACTCAGCACACTGCCTGACACATGGTAATTGACACACCATGTGTAGTTTTAAAAGGAGGTCTTTGGAGTAATTTCTTAGGTAATCCTACCCAGTCTTGTGGCTCTGATACCATCTATACATCGGTTATTCACAATTTATAATCCCTTGGCTGATCTCCTCTTTCAGTCCAGAGGTGTGTAACCCACTGCCCACTCAGGCAGGGCTCTGTCACAGGCGCACTCCTTCCTGGGTCTTCCTGTCGCAGTCACCATGCCTCTAGCTTCGTGGGCCTTGCAGTCATCCATGATGCCTCTATTCCTCTCATAACTGCCCCCTCCCATCCATCTCCAAATCCAGGCAGCTCTACCTTTTATTTTTCCTTTGAGACAGAGTTTCGCTCTGTTGCCCAGAGCCAGAGTGCAGTAGTGACATGACCTCAGCTTCCTGCAACCTCTGCCTCCCCGGTTCAAGCGATTCTTGTGCTTCAGCCTCCTGACATAGCTGGGATTACAGGCATGTGCCAAAATTCCTGGCTCATTTTTGTAATTTTAGTAGAGATGATGTTTCACCATGTTTGCCAGTCTGCTCTCAAACTCCTAGCCTCAAGTGATCCACCTGTCAGCCTCCCAAAGTACTGGGATTACAGGTATGAGCCACCGCGCCTGGCCTCTACCTTTAAATCGATCCAGGATGGGACCACCTATCACTAACACTGCTGCAGCCGCCTGCCTGGTGCCTCTGCTTCTACTAGCTCCACTTTCTCCAGGCTATTAGTCAAGCAGCATAGTGAACCTTTTAGTTAAGCTAAGTCCAAGACACATGTTTCCTTTGTTCAAAGCCTTTTGATAATTTTGCATCTAAAACCAAAATTATTATTATTATTATTGTTAAAGATGGAGCCTCCCTCTGTCACCCAGGCTGGAGTGTAGTGGCACAGTCTCAGCTCACTATAACCTCCGCCTCCAGGGTTCAAGTGATTCTCCTGCCTGAGCCTCTCGAATAGCTGGGATTACAGGCATGCGCCACCACGCCCGGCTAATTTTGTGTTTTGAGTAGAGATAGGGTTTCACCATGTTGGCTAGGCTGGTCTCGGACTCCTGACCTAGGTGATCTACCCACCTCGGCTTCCCAAAGTGCTGGGATTATAGGTGTGAGCCACCGTGCCTGACCTAAAACCGAAATTATTGCCATGGCCTTCAAGACCTTACCAGATCTGACACCACCGCCATCTCTTCTCTAGCAGGCTCTCCCTACCACTCAGCTCCCGTCCCACTGACTTCTTTACCAACGTGGCTCCTGCCTCCAGGCCTTTGTAGCTGCTGTTCCTTCTGCCTGGAACATCTTTCCCTGAGGAAGCATTCACCCTTCAGCCCTCCTTTTCTTCTGCCTCCTCACCTGGCTTAATGTTTCTTCACTCACTTGCTTATCTGTGCATTTTTTTGTTTTTTGCTTTTGAAACAGAGTCTTGCTGCATCACCCAGGCTGGAGGGCAGGAGTGGTGGCATGACATCAGCTCACTGCAACCTCCACCTCACCGGTTCAAGCAATTCTTGTGCCTCAGCCTCCTGAGTAGCTGGGATTACAGGCATATGCCACCACATCCGGCTAGTTTTTGGTATTTTAATAGAGATGTTTCAGCATGTTGCCCAGGATACTCCTGAGCTGAAGCAAGCTGCCCACCTCAACCTCCCAAAGAGTTAGGATCACAGGCGTACAGCACCACACCTGGCCTGTCTGCATTTTCTGCCTCCCACCTCTAGAAGGTAGCTCTGTGAGAGCAGCGTTGGATCTGTCCTTCACCCTGGGATTGCAGGCCAGGGACAGTATCTGGCATAGAGAATGCACTCGCTAAGTATTTGTTGAATGGATAAAGGAATGGTGCCAAGCCCCTCAGTGATTCTGAAGTATTCGTGCATCAGAGACCTCTTGCAGGGGGCCACCAACCAGTGCATAAAATAATAAAAAGTTGGCCGGGCACAGTGGCTCAAGCCTGTAATCCCAGCACTTTGGGAGGCCGAGGCGGGTGGATCACGAGGTCAAGAGATCGAGACCATCCTGGTCAACATGGTGAAACCCCGTCTCTACTAAAAATATAAAAAATTAGCTGGGCATGGTAGTGCAAGCCTGTAATCCCAGCTACTCGGGAGGCTGAGGCAGGAGAATTGCCTGAACCCAGGAGACGGAGGTTGCGGTGAGCCGAGATCGCGCCATTGCACTCCAGCCTGGGTAACAAGAGCAAAACTCCATCTCAAAAAATAAATAAATAAAAATTTAAAAAATAAAAAGTTGAAAATATATGACAGGACCTAGGCTTCCTCCCTAGCAAAGAAATAGGGCAGAGGCCCTTCCTCCAGTCTCCATTCATGCCTCCTCCACCAGTTCTACCATGAGCTATTTTAATATTTGGCCATTAGAGTGGGAGCTGATTAAATCTCCCTCTGTGCCTCTGCTAATCTACCAAACAGAAGCCGGTAAGCCAGAGGCGAGACTGAGGGCTTCTTGCTCCTGATCTCTGCTCTTTCCCAAGGCGGTTTCCTGCTTCTTCTCTTCCCACTGCATACCTCCAAAGATGGAGAGTACAGGAACATAAGGCGTTTCACTCCCCTCTCCCTCCCGCCTGGTTCTACAGTCCATTTTCACTTAGGGGAAGCGGGTCTCTTTTGGGTAGGCCCACCAGGCCAGGGGTAGGTTCCACTCTCATCATCATGTGAACCCATCCCCTCTGGGCTGAGACAAATATCTAAAGATCACTTTGTTCAGCCGGGCACCATGGCTCACGCCTGTAATCTCAGCACTTTGGGAGGGTGAGGTGGGCTGATCACGAGGTCAGGAGTTAGAGACCATTCCGGCTAAATGGTGAAACCCTGTTTCTACTAAAAATACAAAAATTAGCCAGGCTTTGGTGGCATGCACCTGTAGTCCCAGCTATTCTGGAGGCTGAGGCAGGAGAATCACTTGAACCTGGGAGGCGGAGGTTGCAGTGAGCCGAGATCGCACCATTGTACTCCAGCCTGGGTAATAAGAGTGAAACTCCATCTCAAAAAAAAAAACGATCACTTTGTCCTCAGGTGGAACAGAGGGATCCACAGAACCACCTCTCAAGCTATTGTCTGGGCTCAGGCTGCCTGTGCAGAATCCCTGGGATCCTGACTGGAGCAGGTCAATGAGGGCGGTGGCTTCCTTGTCCCTTCTTCCACTCTCCTGTAGCCATCACTCCTGCTGCCACCTTGCTGGTGCCCCCTAGCACAGGTTGATTGCTGTGGGTTGCCTGTGGTCCCATGTCTTCACTCCTCCTGCCCCACCACAGAACCAGACATGACACAGGAAATTCAAAATTCCTTGGCCAGCTCTTCTCAATGCGGC